CTATGGTCAGAGTACCTGACTGTTTCAGCATTAAATTCAAGTTGTAACGATAGTCAAAAGTATCATTAATTTTATGATGTTATTACAAATTTGCATTAATGTACCAGTTTGTATATTGTGTTAATAAATGTTTTGTTCAAGGGAGTGATAAGTTTTCATATCCCCACTCACTGCATGTTTTTTTTTTTCTGTCTAGTATAGTACAGTACAGTACAGTACCATAGTTGTGTCTGTACTGAGAAGATTGATATAGCACATAAGTGGCCGATACTGGTAAATTATTGTAATAGGTTTCCGAGCTACTGTTTTGATGTTTCCAGAAGTATAGACCTGCTTTCAGGCAAGCTATGTTTGACTCAAGTGTCACAGGAACTACAGCATCACTGTAGGGTCATATAAGGTATTTGAAAGTTACTAGACTGTGTGCAATCCATCCAAACAACAGACTTATAATGTGAATATCTTATCACATGTACAAGCCTTCTGTAAGTATCGGTGACATTACTGATACTGGGGGTCCAGTATCAGTAATGTCAATATCAGACCCCCTGGAAAGTTTCAAAAACTGTTGGCATTCTTTCTAAGATCAGATATTATGTACCTCGCCCTGCCCTGGTGACACTCTGTTACTCTCTCATCTATCCTTATTTCAACTATGGTATTTGTGCTTGGGGTTCTACTACCCTAAATCATTTACGTCCTTTAATTACTCTACACAAAGCTGCTATTAGGACAATATCTAACTCTGGCCCCAGACATCACTTGGTACTCTTACTCTGAATATGTTAGATATTAAGTCACTGCACATCCTCTCATGTGTATTTTATATATATAAAATGCTGAACTGTAATGTCAGTCCTGACCTTAGAAGGTTGTAACAGATCCCATGAGCACCACACCAGAAACAAATACCTATTTGATATTCCAAGAATACGACTTTATCAAACTAGAAATGCTTTACAAATCAAGGGACCCAGAATGTGGAATGACCTTCCCAATTATGTTAAAGACTGTACCTCTCCCAACCAGTTTAAGATAAAAACTAAGTACTACCTAATTAACTCCATGTAACCTACCTCACCCCAAAAATGTCAACCCATGTCTACTATTTTAAACAATGGTGTTTGTTGACCAAACTGTATTTTTGCTATTTTTTCTGCCATGTTCCCCCATTTTTTCATTTTTTTATTTTCTCAACACAATTTATACTTTAATCTCAATTGGTATTAAGTTTTAGTCTTAGTGTTTTTCCTGCTCGAAACGCTTTGCGTAATAGTGGCTTTAGGCATTGTATGTACTAGCTCTATCTATAAATCCATCAACATTTGTATCTCGCCTTGTATGTATGTACTTTACCTGAATGAATATTTGTATTTGTATTTGTAGTTGGATTCCAAGCGGGTGGAGCTACGGCAGATGCAGGAGCTAAGACAGATGAAACATCGGCAAGAGTCATCAAGGGGAGGGGAGCAGCAGTAGAGGGTCTACATCTTGGAATATCATAGGGGACAGGAGTCTTAAGAAGACTGATGAGGCCGCCTACAGCTGTCATAAAGACTTCCAACCCATTCTCTATGCTGGAAGACGAGTGCTGTAGGGAGACTGCAGTTTGCTCGAAAGGCAAGGCAACAAAAGGAGCGCCACGCCACTCAAGCTGCTCACAAAATAAAGGAAGTACCTAAGCAAATTTTGGTTGTGGGAGATTCTCAGGTGAAGTATTTGGATAGAACTTTTTGTGCCAAAGATAAGATAGAGCTTTTTGTGCCTTAACAGGTTAAGGGTTTGTTTTCCAGGCGCAAGGATTGGTGATGTAGTAAATATTATGAAATATATTATGGCTGGAAATGGGAACAAACCCATTATTTGTATCAGTGCCCATTGGAAATGTTGTAGGACGAGTTAGGAGTGAGGCACTGATACAGAGGTTTAAGATAGCCATAGAATTAGTTAGAAGCAAGGGAGGAATCCCAATCATATGTAGCATTCTTCCAAGAAAAGGAGTTGGAAATGAATGGTTGTTGAGGACATATTGTAACTCAAATATCATTTATTGATAACTGGGAACACTTCTATGGAAGAAATGGCATATATGCTCGGGATGGGGGTGCATTTATCTATGGCTGGGGTTGTTGCTGTTGCCAACTCATTAGAACCTGTGGTTGGAAGGGTTTCTTTGGGTTTAAACTATTAGTAGATAGTGGTATGGGAATTGATATGATGAAAGGAGGCAATAAACGTATGTGTTGGTAGTGGAAAACAATTGGCAAAATGAACAGGGAAGGAGAAAGGCTTCAAAATAACAATACACTTAAGGGGCCCAGTGCTTATGTACTGAAACTTCCTCAAACATAATTTTTTTGTGAATAATAGTATCTACATGGTAAATGCACCGTTATTTTCCTAATGGATCAACATCATACCATGAACAGAAAAAAGTAAAAAATAAAAGAAAACAAAGAAAATTCAAAATTTCAAGTTAGGTTTAAAAATATTAAAATGTCACCAATTGTTATTTTATTCATTATGGTCTCAGAATGGTATATAACATTCATGTTCCTCATGGAAAAATATTGTTTGAGAGTATAGTTTGCTGTAAAGCATTTTTTCAATGTGGCCATCCAAATATGTGGAAAATTTAGACACAAAAAATGTATAACTCCAAACGTTATGGCTTTACGACTAAATGACAATGAGGACACCTTAGAACTAAGAATCTTGCACATATGTGGTATGTACACATATGCACATTTGCACATAAAGTGTGCAAATGTTCTGCATTAAAGAGTGCATTTGCACGTTCTGTTTGGTGTTCAGAGACCAAACAGAACGCCTTGAAGGAAACCAACATCATCTATGCCTTCACATGGCCACTTGGGGACTGCCAGCCCCAAAGATCTCAGTATATAGGTAAGACAACGTCTCTTTCTAGGCAATTAACAATGCACAAACAACAGGGCTCCATTATGAAGCATATAATCTCCTCACACAACCAGACCATCACCAGAGAAATCTTAACAAGCAACACACAAATTATTGACAGATACAATGACACCAGGAGACTCGACATCAACGAGGCCTTACCCAACAAAAAGTCAAAAGCAGCAATCGACAGCCAATTAACATGTACAGTAATTACATTCTACCCACTTCAAGACTCTGAACCAACACAGAAGCAAGAAGATAAAACACGCAATGTACCCATTGATTCACTTGTTCATCTCAACCATGTCCTGTATCACCTCACCCCAAACGAATACTGTATAAGCATTAACAGAGTTTTCTGAGGTTGGAAGAAAACGCGCTCAGATTGGGGACTTGTTTATTTTATAATAGTAAATAATAAATTAATAATAAATAATAAATTAGTATTATATAATAAATATAATAATAATAACAAACAGTATAATGATAAGCAATTATTTTTAATGCATCAAATAGCTAATTAGGGTGAATGATAAATAAATAGTGACTAATGCATAACAATAAAGTATTAAAGAATAATTATAATGAATAATCATTATAATGATAAAGTATTAAATCAATTACAATTAATAGTTACATCTATAGTTAGTAATTGAAAGTTGCATTATTTGAATTTACACTAATTACAATTCATGGTAATATTTCTTAGCTATCTGCAGGCTTAGCACTTTGGGGGTTCCGGCGGAGCACCCCCAAAGATACCGTAAATGCTTAGCAAGCTAGAACAAGTGCCCCCTGAGCCTGTCTGTGCGTCGTCCCTTTGAAAAGAAAAACAGAGGATGCAGAGGATCCCGGGAGGAGGGTGGCCGTTTTGTAAGTGAGCAGCTGCGTGCTTGTCGAGAACAGAGGGCCACCCAGTCTGCAGGCAGAGCTTATATAACCTCGGCTCATTGTGTGCACAGCTTGGCTGGTTAGACTCGGCTTCCAGACATACGTTTTCTTTTCCTCAGAAAACCCTCCACTTTTTTGGGAAAAGCAGTGTTATGTAAAATTGTCCAGTCTTTGAAAATGTAAGAAATGTTTTGCGAAATGCTTCTAGGCGTCAGACCATAAATAAAGCATGAAAAGAACTTTGGAGAGTTAATTTTTGAACTACCCTCGACAGTGAAGAAGGGACCCAGAATGTGGAATGACCTCAATCATGCCAAAAGCGGTACTCCTCTCAGTCAGTTTAACTAAGTTTAACAGTTTAACTAAAAACTAAGTTCTACCGGATAAACTCCATGTAACCTTCTTTACCCCCTAAATGTCAACCCGTGTTTTGCTATTTTTAATCATTATTGATTATTGACCAACTTGTTTAACTGCTGCTATCTTGTATATAAATAAGTCAATAAAGTAAATCTGCCATGTACAACTTTACCATGTCTAAACCATGTATAAACTGTACACCTCTGTTCACCCCAGCAGTGAATGGGTACCTGGTTGTTCAACGATTTATCTGAGCGTGACTGAGAAGGGAAGACGAGGACAGGAAGCCAGCGGCTTGTTGAATGTTCCCCCGCCCCCCCCAATATGCTTTCACATTTAGCGGGTCTCAGACTGGTCGTATTATAGGGAAATTTAAGACTAAGATCCTACCCGAAACACTATGCGTGCTAGTGGCTTTACAAAAATGTAAAATCTCTTGTATATATAAATACAAAAATAAAATAAAATTTAGCACTGTTTTGGCATCGGCGGGTAGGCGGTTCCACAAGTTTATAACCCTGTGGGTAAAAAAGCATCTCCTGTTTTCAGTCCTACATTGTGGCTTCGTTTGTGAGGGTTTTCAGTTTTTCTTGTAATTATGAGCCACATATTACAATACCCTACAAGGAGGAAGTATTACAAATTACCTACTTAACATTATCTTAAATTAAGGACCTGTCCAAAACGCTATGCGTGTTAGTGGCTTTAAAAGATTGTAAAAACATCAATGCTATGTACTCTCATAAACCGAATATACCCTAATGTATATATAAATAAATAAATATATATATATATATAAAAATATTATTGTTATCAAATGAGAGTTTGAGAGTGTGTGTGGGTGCTGGTGTGACTGGCGGAGGCGACCACAGCAACACCAAGACGGTGATGGCCGCGATCATTAGAGGAGGAGTTTCCCGTCTCCGGGGCACCCTCAGTACGTTGTAATAATACATATATATAGCCAGCACATATGTGCTATGTACCTGTGGTCATTACAGGGGCTTGGCGCGCCGGTATGTTAGGCCCTCGGGGTGTTAATACGGAATTTGGAGACTTGCCTATTTTGACCGGAATTTGGAGTTGTTTTTGATCTTGAGGTCAAGAAAACCTATGAAATATAGGTTTATAAGTGTGTTGATGACTATGGCGCAGTTTCCCCTACCACTGATGAAGCCGTTTCTTAGACCGGTGTTCTGTACAGTCGTGTTTATTTTGAGATGGGAAAATAGTTAAAGGGGCCTGACAGCTGAGTGGACAGTGCTCAGGATTCGTAGGCGTTAGGTTCCGGGTTCGATCCCCCGGTGGAGGCGGAAGCAAATGGGCAGAGTTTCTCTTACCCTGATGCACCTGTTCACCTAGTAATAAATAGGTGGGAGGTAGACAGCTGCTACGGGCTGCTTTCTTGGAGTGTGTGTGAAATTAAGATTAAGGACTTGCCCGAAATGCTGTACGTGCTGTACAAGAATGTAAGAGCTCTTGTATATATAAATAACAAAAAAGTCGAGGACTTGCGTACCAGATAATGTGGTTAACATTCGTAGTGAAGATCACACGCTACGTTATTTTAAGTAGCAATAAAGTCGCATATTTTGAATGGCTGCAGGTCTATTTTTTATTCTTTTGTTTAAAGATAAATTTCAAATCTACCTAACCCAGCCCTGCCTTACCTAACCCAGCCCCATAACCTAGCCCTGCCTTATCCAACCCAGCCCTGCCTTGCCTAACCCAGCCCTGCCTTGCCTAACCCAGCCTTACCTTGCCTAACCCAGCCCTGCCTTGTCCAACCCAGCCCTGCCTTGCCTAACCCAGCCCTGCCTTGCCTAACTCAGCCCTGCCTTGCCTAACTCAACCCTGCCTTGCCTAACTCAGCCCTGCCTTGCCTAACTCAGCCCTGCCTTGCCTAACCCAGCCCTGCCTTGCCTAACTCAGCCCTGCCTTGCCTAACCCAGCCCTGCCTTGCCTAACTCAGCCCTGCCTTGCCTAACTCAGCCCTGCCTTGCCTAACTCAGCCCTGCCTTGCCTAACCCAGCCCTGCCTTGCCTAACTCAGCCCTGCCTTGCCTAACTCAGCCCTGCCTTGCCTAACTCAGCCCTGCCTTGCCTAACTCAGCCCTGCCTTGCCTAACTCAGCCCTGCCTTGCCTAACTCAGCCCTGCCTTGCCTAACTCAACCCTGCCTTGCCTAACCCAGCCCTGCCTTGCCTAACGCAGCCCTGCCTTGCCTAACACAGCCCTGCCTTGCCTAACTCAGCCCTGCCTTGCCTAACTCAGCCCTGCCTTGCCTAACTCAGCCCTGCCTTGCCTAACTCAGCCCTGCCTTGCCTAACTCAGCCCTGCCTTGCCTAACCCAGCCCTGCCTTGCCTAACCCAGCCCTGCCTTGCCTAACCCAGCCCTGCCTTGCCTAACCCAGCCCTGCCTTGCCTAACCCAGCCCTGCCTTGCCTAACCCAGCCCTGCCTTGCCTAACCCCCTGCCTTGCCTAACCCAGCCCTGCCTTGCCTAACCCAGCCCTGCCTTGCCTAACCCAGCCCTGCCTTGCCTAACCCAGCCCTGCCTTGCCTAACAAAGCCTTGCCTTGCCTAACTCAGCCCTTCCTTGCCTAACTCAGCCCTGCCTTGCCTAACTCAGCCCTGCCTTGCCTAACTCAACCCTGCCTTGCCTAACTCAACCCTGCCTTGCCTAACTCAGCCCTGCCTTGCCTAACTCAGCCCTGCCTTGCCTAACTCAGCCCTGCCTTGCCTAACTCAGCCCTGCCTTGCCTAACTCAGCCCTGCCTTGCCTAACTCAGCCCTGCCTTGCCTAACTCAGCCCTGCCTTGCCTAACTCAACCCTGCCTTGCCTAACTCAGCCCTGCCTTGCCTAACTCAACCCTGCCTTGCCTAACCCAGCCCTGCCTTGCCTAACCCAGCCCCTGCCTTGTCCAACCCAGCCCTGCCTTGCCTAACCTAGCCCTGCCTTGCCTAACCCAGCCCCTGCCTTGCCTAACTCAGCCCTGCCTTGCCTAACCCAGCCCCTGCCTTGCCCAACCCAGCCCCTGCCTTGCCCAACCCAGCCCCTGCCTTGCCCAACCAAGCCCTGCCTTGCCCAACCCAGCCCTGCCTTGCCCAACCCAGCCCCTGCCTTGCCCAACCAAGCCCTGCCTTGCCCAACCCAGCCCCTGCCTTGCCCAACCAAGCCCTGCCTTGCCCAACCCAGCCCCTGCCTTGCCCAACCAAGCCCTGCCTTGCCCAACCCAGCCCCTGCCTTGCCCAACCCAGCCTATGCTAACCAATCCAACCCAACTGGATTCAAGTTACATTGTACCCATTACTTCATGAATGGAAAGTTAAATCTAACACAACCTAACTTGACCAAACCCCAAATAACCTAACCAACCCTAACACATCCTAATCTATTTACATAGATAGTTTTAACACTTGGGATAAGTAGACATGTCAAAGAGCTTGTTAGAGTTAACTGTACTCCCACTCTATAACAATGTTTAGGTTTTTTTACAATGCATAATGATTTATAGTTCTTAAAATTTTGGAGACGAGCTTAGTGTACAGAAAGTTGCAAGTACAGTAAGGAATATACTGTAGCCTATTCTAGTGGCCTGTGACTGTGGAATGCAGTATCTTGAGGTTATCTTGAGATGATTTCGGGGCTTTTAGTGTCCCCGCGGCCCGGTCCTCGACCAGGCCTCCACCCCCAGGAAGCAGCCCATGACAGCTGACTAACTCCCAGGTACCTATTTACTGCTAGGTAACAGAGGCATTCAAGGTGAAAGAAACTTTGCCCATTTGTTTCTGCCTCGTGCGGGAATCGAACTCACGCCACAGAATTACGAGTCCTGCGCGCTGCGAGTAGTGGTAGATCGTAGGATATGTGACTTGCTCTTTGTTGTTTTAAATTTACTGTGGCGTGTAAATAATCCCTTGATAACAGTGAATGTGGCACATTTATCCTAATTGTGCCCAGGTTGTGTTAGAACACCAAAATAAAATATCCTGTGATATCTCGAGGTTATCTTGAGATGGTTACAGGGCTTACCCAAATGGCCCGGTCCTTAACCAGGCTGCCTTTTTGTTACACACATCCCCAGGAAGCAGCCCATAACAGCTGTCCAACTCCCAGGTACTTGTTTATTGCTAGGTGAACAGGGGCATCAGGATGAAAGAAACTGCCCATTTGTTTCCGCCTCCACCGGGGATCGAGCCCTGAACCTCAGGACTACGAATCCGAAGCGCTGTCCACTTAGCTGTCAAGCTGAGTGGACAGCGCTGAATTGTATTGATAGAATACAATTCAATCACAGAATTGAAGGGTCCCGGTAGTACAGATGGGTTCGTTTTCAAAGCACAATCGAGAATTCCAGATTCGAATCCTGGGTGGGACAGAAATGGTTGGGCACATTTCCTTTCACTTAATGTTGCTGTTCACCTACCAACTAGTAGGTACTCAGGAGTTAGCGTGTTAAGGGGTTGCAGTCCTAGGCGGGGTCAGTAATTCAACCCTAGGGGTGGGTGAGGACCTCGATAAAAGCCTAATGTGTGTGTCAATTCACTTTGGCTTCCTGTTCCCCCGACAATGAATTATTATTATTACTTCTAGAAACCCATACAAAGGTCTAGGACAGTGACTTATTTGACTACCTTCGAAGAGACTAAAAGCATGAGAAGAATTTCAGAACTATATCCTGGAGCGAGTTGATAGACATGGGATATACAGTAGTTAATAACCTGGGAAAGTTTCACAAAGATAATCACTAAACTTGTTCAAAAATACATGTCAAGGAGAAGGGAAGTGAACAAATAGATGACGAAGGCAGTAAAAAGAGCTTTAACAACCAGACTCGACTTCATTACTGTATTATTTTTTTTCCTTTCATGTGTTTTAAATAGAGAATATACCTTGCCAAATTACCCTTATTGGTGATATATATATTATGGCCTGGTAGGCTATAAATAAGGCTTATTATTTATAGAGGCTACAAATAAGGCCAATTATGGTCTTATTTGTATCCTCTCTAACTTGGACTGGACATTAGAGCGACAGTTTCACTTCTCGCAGGTCGGTGTTCAATTTCTGACCGGTCAAGTGGTTGGGCACCATTTCTTCGTCCTATCCTAAATCTTTATCCTTGTATCTCTTCCAAGTACTATATTGTCGTAATGGCTTGGCTTGGCTCCTGATAATTACCCTACCATACCTTGTACAATGTTTGTAATTGAAAGACCAATTTTTCCCCTCCCTCCCTCCCCTTGTTTTTTTATTGTGATACATATGGAGAGAACATCTCTTACTAGAAAACTTATTTTAATATGGAAAAATCGATTTTTTACTTCAGTTTGAGCCTTGGATGACAACTGGGCCAAAAGTAGTGCTACAGATAGTATTTAAGCATTAACAAAATGTTTTCATCTCTGAATAATAATACAAATAATAATAATACTGAAATAACAATAATACTGTAATAATACTAATAATAATAATACTGTGATCAATAATACTGTAATAATAATGAGTATGGGCATCATTTAAGCATTATTTTTTACAGGTCCTGGTGTCGGGTCACTTATTGTAAATCGGTACAGTTCTAGCAAGGTAAGCAGCTCATAAGATTAATAATAATTAAAAAATAACTGCAATGAATTTTTTTTTTTTACTACTCATAGCTTATATATGGTACAAACATTATCGAAACTGGATGCTGGTGACAAATTAATTGTTCATTCAATTTAAAGGTATATGGCCCACTTGCCGATGAAGATCGTATTTTCACGAATTTGTATGGCCGTCATGACTGGAGACTGAAGGGAGCTCTTAGTCGAGGTGACTGGTATAAGACCAAGGAAATAATCTTAAAAGGACCCGATTGGATTTTGAGTGAAATAAAGACTTCGGGGCTTCGTGGCCGAGGTGGGGCCGGATTTCCTTCTGGCATGAAATGGAGCTTTATGAATAAACCGTGAGTATTATGATATATTTAGTGCCTTCTCTCCAAGTACTGTGCTTCAGATTTATGTTTATGGATTTTTTACACCCACTATTTATGGATGGGTCGAAGTCTGCTGTAGGCATTAGCTGCTTACAGTATTTCTTGATAAAACCCTTATATGTTGTCTCCTCCCACTCAAGTGGTTTTGCAGTAAACGTGTTTTGCAATTTTATATGCACTCAAACAGTTGCATTTCTTGTTTTAACTGATATATTTGTCATTGTGGTTGAGCCTGTACTCTAGGGAATACAGATTTAACCCTTACACAGCGGCTATGGAAAAATAGTCCTACAAAAAAAATAAAAAATAAAAATTGTCATTTATAAATGTATTAATTTGTATGCAAAATGTAAGAAAAACACAAAAATAAGTGAATATGTATAGTTTCACTGGGTGAAACGCCATGCAAGGTAACATCTGGCACGTGTCAAATCCTGGTGCGCGACTTAGCTGATGCTTCCTGATTTTTCCTCGGATGTTTCACTGATTGTTTTATCATATATTTTTCTTTGTTGACATCCACAAAGCTATTATATCCATATTTGCATCATGTATGTAAAACCTAGATAATAATTGTTTAAATTGTCTTTTAATGATAACCACAGTCCCCTAGGGATTGTCAATACTGTAAATTATAATTGCAGCCTAAGGGTTAAAATTTTTAAGTGGTCCCAATAATTTAGAAGTGTTATTGAGTACTGTAAATTCTTGAAGTAAGAGATCGTTGCACTCTCTCTAGGTCAGCAATTTCTCCATCTTTGAATGGGAGTTAGTTTGCAACAATATTTCACTAGAGAGCACTAGTGTCCTAAAAAGTATCATCATTGGTGTGTCATCTCTTGTTTGAAAGGTTCTTGTTATCCAACTGGCCATTTTTCTTGCAGTTATAATAATTCATTGTATCATGGGACAGGGAGCCAGAGTGTATGCATACACGGTAGGCTTATATCGAGGACCTCCTCCAAGGTTGAATTATTGACCCTGTCCATGATGCAACTCCACAGCAAATTGACCAACTCCTGAGTACTTAATTACTGATAGGTGAACAGAGGCATTAAATGAAAGGAAACGTGCCTAGCGTGGGAGATGGTCCGCCGAGTGGACAGCACGTTGGACTTGTGATCATGTGGCCCCGAGTTCGATCCCGGGCACCGGCGAGGAACAATAGGCAGAGTTTCTTTCACCCTATGCCCCTGTTACCTAGCAGTAAAATAGGTACCTGGGTGTTAGTCTGCTTTCTGGGGGTGGAGGCCTGGTTGAAGACCGGGCCGCGGGGACACTAAAGCCCCAAAATCATCTCAAGATATCCTCAAGATAACCATTTCTGTCCCGCCTGGGATTCAAACACGGAATTCTCTATTATGCGTTAAGAACAAACCTGACTGTACTACTGGGACCAGCTTCTTTGTCTTCTTTAAAAAGTCTCAACATATTTGCTCCTAAATCCTTCACATTACCTTTTCTTTCGATAGTGTGGTTTGACTGCATTTTATGTGGTTTCTGTTTTGACATTGTTTTTCTCCATAGCACTGGGGAAAAAGTACAGTTTTTACAGATAAAAAGTGTTTTGAGTATAGTAACAAGGGGTAAAATGGTCACACCTTGCCTGATATAAAATAGTAAAAGTCTTACTTTTATCTATATATATATTTTTTTAACCTTCATTACTCCCAAAATTAAATTGAACTCACTTGGGGTAATTGACCACTCTTCCCTGACCCCTGTTCTAGGTCAGGATTTTGGCGTGGGAAGCATCCAAGCCCCCTCAAACTCGCTTTGTGCGAGTTAGAGGGTTGCTCTGTCCCCATGTCTCAGGGTGACCCTCACTGTTTTGCCTCCATCTGCTGCCTGTGGGGTTGGTGACACCTTCGGCCCGGGGTCCTGCAAGTTTTGTTGCTTGCTGTGGCTCGGTTACCCAGTCTTCTGCTGACTAAGTGGATGGCTTGGGAGTACCTGTCTCAGTGCTGTTTTTGTATTGCTCTTTACCCATGGTATCTTTTTAGAACATCACTGTAAACATAGTATAAAATGGTATTGAGAGACTATAGCAGGTTTGTTTTTGCAGCTCTGATGGACGACCAAAATACCTGGTTGTGAATGCTGATGAGGGAGAACCTGGAACATGCAAAGATCGTGAGATTATGCGTCATGACCCCCACAAGCTCATTGAAGGCTGCCTAATTGCTGGCCATGCCATGGGGGCACGGGCAGCATATATTTACATCCGTGGCGAGTTTTACAATGAGGCTTCTAACATGCAAGTTGCCATAAACGAGGTAAGTGAGGGAGGTTACCTTGAGGTTACCTTGAGGTGCTTCCGGGGCTTAGCGTCCCCGAGGCCCGGTCGTCGACCAGGCCTCCTGGTCGCTGGACTGATCAACCAGGCTGTTGGACGCGGCTGCTCGCAGCCTGACGTACGAGTCACAGCCTGGTTGATCAGGTATCCTTTGGAGGTGCTTATCCAGTTCTCTCTTGAACACTATGAGGGGTCGGCCAGTTATGACCCTTGTGTCTAGTGGAAGCGTGTTGAACATCATACAGAATACATGTTAATTTTTATAAGAATAAGTAGTGACTATTTTGCTTATTAGTCATTGTTAATCTTTGCTTGAATTAATTTGAACAGCTGTACAGTAACTAGTCTCTAGTTTTAATTATATGGTTGTTTTTGCAATTAAAGTTATGCCGAGCGGACAGCACGCTGGACTTGTGATCCTGTGAACACTGGGTTCGATCCCAGGCGCCGGCGAGATAAACAAGGGGGCAGTTATGAGTGTTCTTTCAGTCTCGGGCCCTATACCCCTGTTACCTAGCAGTAAAATAGGTACCTGGGTGTTAGTCAGCTGTCACGGGCTCTTCCTGTGGGGTGGAGGCCTGGTAGAGGACCGTGTTGCCGCGGGGACACGTAGTGAAAGCCCCGAATTAATCATCTCGAGATAGCCTCAAGATCTCAAGAAGTTAAATGTGAATTGTATGGATATAGTTTAGTAATTCTAATGCTATCCATCTGCCAACTAAATAAGCAGGATAGTAATTGTTTGTTGCAATGTAATCAAGTGTTTGGTGCAATCACAGGTAAATAGTAAAGGGAAAGAAATGAAATGGAAAGTTGGCAAAGTTGGGAAAGTAGCAACTGTCGGTGAAATATCAAAACTTGCAATAAAAGAAAGGGGATAGAATGCAAGTAGGATGAGGGTAAGGAAGCTAGAGGTCTGGATAGGAAAGGCTAATAATTGGTCTAGTATGGAAATATTTCCATGACTCTCACTATTTGTCAAATGTTGATTGTATTAAAAGGCCACTTTCTGGTGGGTACTTGTGTGGCCATTATAAGCCTACTGGGGTCCAGAGGCTTAACCACTGTGCTGTGCTGCCCGTGATAACATGGCAAAAGGGGGTGTGCCACCCTACATGCATATCATGCAGACGAGGAGTCACAATAACGTGGCTGAAATATGTTGACCAAACCACACACTAGAAAGTGAAAGGACGACGATGTTTCGGTCCGTCCTGGACTATTCTCAAGTCGACAATCGACTTGAGAATGGTCCGGGACTGACCGAAACGTCGTCGTCCCTTCACTTTCTAGTGTGTGGTTTGGTCAACATGCATATCATGTTTGTTAGTATATCGTATGATTCAAAGTTCCTGTGGGTACACCAAGCTTGCATCCTGTTCCCCAGGACTCCAGTAAGCAGATGCCATCTTGAAAAAAAAATTGACTGCATCCCTGCTGGCTGTGAGAGCCTCAGTACTGCCAGAGCAACCAAGGCTGGCGCATGCAGCTGGAGCTCACAACACAGCTGCTCAAGTCAGGGCCACCGCACCACTTGATAATCCTGAATAAAATAAGTACAGTAACTGCAATTATTTTGCGACGATAGTGTCATAGGTGGTCCTGACTCTTAATACAAATTATGCACAAGGTGCATAGGTAGGGCCTCGTAGCCTGGTGGATAGCGCGCAGGACTTGTAATTCTGTGGCGCGGGTTCGATTCCCGCACGAGGCAGAAACAAATGGGCAAAGTTTCTTTCACCCTGAATGCCCCTGTTACCTAGCAGTAAAATAGGTACCTGGGTGTTAGTCAGCTGTCACGGGCTGCTTCCTGGGGGTGGAGGCCTGGTCAAGGACCGGGCCACGGGGACACTAAAGCCCCGAAATCATCTCAAGATAAGAAGAGATCAGTGATCATACTGCTAGTTATGATGATCACAGCAGGAGGTAGATATTCACAGCACACAGCTGAGGTTTGTGAATCTATGTATCAAGCAAAGAGCCCTTGTGTTCCTTTGGAAAATAATCTTGTGAAAAATTATTCATATTTGTGATTGTGACAGGAATCTGATGATGATAACAGTATTCGAAGAAGTCTCCGTGGTGTAGTGGTAAGACACTCGCCTGGTGTTCCACGAGCGCTTTGTCATGGATTCATATCCTGGCCAGGGAGGATTTACTGGGCACAAATCCTTAACTGTAGCCTCTGTTTAACGCAACAGTAAAATGCGTGCTTGGTTGTAACAATGATTCTTCGCGGCGGGGTCGTATTCCAGGGACCTGCCCGAAACGCTACGCATACTAGTGACTGTACAAGAATGTAACAACTCTTGTATATATCTCAAAAAGAGTAATGGTGACATCTGTTGTACATTTCTGGGTATTTTGATGAGGCAGGTGACATAGATTGCTTGAGTCAGCTGGTCGTAGAGTGTATGTACCTTTATACTGTACAGGACTCACTCGATTTAAGGAGCTCTTATTTACCGTTCCGCCGATTCTAACTACCGATTTTTAGATCGTTAACTGGCACATTATTTACAGAGTCATTGGCTGTTAAATCCGAAATACGGTATTGAGTTTACAGAGTCCGGTATGGGTTAAACTGGAGGCCACTATTGTGTTTGTTGTAACAATCTTGCACTCGCTAGGCCAGAGGTTACATTTTCCCTTTACAGATTTCACATCTTTTGTTATGTAGCATGTAGTCAGAGGTAATCACAGTCGTAACCAGTCAATGTGGCAGCCGTGGTCAAGTCAGTCAATCATAACCAGTCAAAGGCAGTTAGGCATTCACAGTTGTGGTAGCAACCAGTCACAGTTTGTAAACAACACAAGTCTGATGTTTACAGAACACCAATGTTCTGTTCTCTCACAAGCCCAATGTACATTCTTAAATATAAGTAAGGCAGTCAGTCAGTCAGGGGCTCGGGCCGGGCTTGGGGAGTAGAAGAACTCCCAGAACCCCATCAACCAGGTATCAACCAGGTATCAACCAGGTATCAACCAGGGGCAGTCTGCCTCGAAAGCCACCATAGGGTTGGAAGCTAGCCGAGAATCTGAACCGTATTAATACCATATCGACCATCTACACGCGCTTGGAGGAGTGGGTGGTTTATTTCTGAGAGGGTATGGTATCCGAAGAGGGGTAGGAAGTAGTGGGGATGCGGGAGCTGAGGGGGATGTGGTGTGACCACAGCCAGTCTGTGATAGTTTGCCTGCCTCCCTGCCAGTCAAACCAAGCAGATCCACCCAAGCCCGTCTACCCGCCCAAACCAACGCAAGTCTTACCTGCCCGAACCAACGCATGCCCGCCTACCCGCCCAAACCCACCCAGGCCTGCCTACCTGCCCGAACCTACCAACCCCGATCCTCGCGAATCCCGCCCACCCACCCCACCCACCCCACCTGCCTAACCACCCAACCTGCCCACCAACCAACCAACCCACCTAGCCTGCCCACCCATTAACTTAATCAGCCTCCAATCCATCCACACTGCCTGCCCTCCCACCCACTGACCAAACCAGTCCGCCCACCCAGCCATCCTCCCTGCCCATGCACCTGCCCACCCTACCTACTTTCCAGCTGGCCACTAATCCATCCACCCCGCCCGACGGACTGCCTGCCAGTTAGCAACCAGTCCTTCCACCCACCCTACCTGCCCACTAGCCAGCCAGTCCACCTGCCCTCCCCCACTCCCACCTGCCTGCCTGCCAGCCAGCAAGTTATCCATCCAGCCAGCCCACCCGATACTCCATGATATGAGAATATTTTAGCATGGTCCAAATAAGGTAGACTTATAAACATATAAACATGAACACTTAACATATAAACATGAACACTTAACATATAAACATAGACATGTGTATGAACATGTAAACATAGCTCACCGCTTGCATGGGTGGTACACGAACAAGGGGACACAGATGGAGACTGAGTACCCACATGAGCAACAGGGACGTTAGAACTTTTTCAGTGTCAGAGTACAGTAATTAACGGATGGAATGCATTAGGCAATGATATGGTGGAGGCTGACTCCATACACAGTTTCAAATGTAGATATGATATAGCCCAGTAGGCTCAGGAATCTGTACACCAGTTGATTGACAGTTGAGAGGCAGGACCAAAGAGCCAGAGCTCAACCCCTGCAAGCACAATTAGGCGAATACAGGTAACATAAAATTCAAGAGGATTTGTGATTTTCAAAATCTACACTGTAATGACTCCGTTTCAAATAGTTTAAATCCAACCCATCCTCCAGTTTCCATAATATTTTTTTGTAACTGCATCATAGTACAAATATTGATGTAGTAAGCAATTAGTTAGAACTTTGTACTATTCACTTTATAGTCCGAAAAAAGTGATGCTAAAAAGCACTTAAATATTCCTAGGCCTAGTATAGCGCAAACATGTACTCTATTAGGTCTCAGATAGCAGGTATTAGGCCTAGGAAAGTTAGGGTGTTAGTTTCTTTGCAACATGGAAAATCTTTTCTGGGTTGTCAAAATTCAATAGTACTGATTTCTACTGTTTACTTGCATTGTCGATCGGTATATGTACTATGGTCCTCATCTTTCCTATAAGTACTACCAAAACAGGAGGCTGCGCTGTTTAAATCGTTGTTAGTTACTGCAAATATTTTATGCATTCTTATTGCATATCTCAACTTGCTCATTCTTATTATGGGCAGCAGACTTCTGATGTACTACTGCTCGGCTTAGACTCGGTTACAAGTATCTCTGGGAATTCTCATTATCTGCCGATGTAGATAGGGAGCCGGTCGGCCGAGCGGACAGCACTCTGGACTTGTGATCCTGTGGTCCTGGGTTCGATCCCAGGCGCCGGCGAGAAACAATGGGCAGAGTTTCTTTCACCCTATGCCCCTGTTACCTAGCAGTAAAATAGGTACCTGGGTGTTAGTCAGCTGTCACGGGCTGCTTCCTGGGAGTGGAGGCCTGGTAGAGGACCGGGCCGCGGGGACACTAAAAAAAAGCCCCGAAATCATCTCAAGATAATCTCAAGATAACTGACCAAATGTAAACTGTGTCTACAAAATTATTCGCACACTCTCCGTCACTATGTGATGGAGTGCGAAAAGATACGTGAATTCAGAGACAATTCTATAACCAATGTTCCAACGATGTGTAAATATTTCATTGAAAATTATCTGCTACCAGAAATTTTAGCCAAATATCCCCAGTTTGCTAACTCTAGGTAGTAACTAAGTGATTGTAACCTATCCACCGCTGCCCACTGGATGGGGGGCGGTGTGCAGGACAAACATGTCAATTGTGACACTAGCTCTCCACATATGTCAGTTGATTAATTTAGAAACTGTACTTGTGGTCGATCTCGAACCCATTGTTGATATGACGACTTATACTGAATTTTGTAACTAGATCACCAAGATTGTAACTTGCTTAGCTAAATGAATTGTGGGGTTCAGTCCCTGAGCCCATTATGTGCCTCTGTAACCCTTTCTACTACTGCCCACAAGATGGGTATGGGGTGCATAATAAATGAATTAAACTGCACTTCTTATGGACAGGACTGAAAAAGATTGCAAAATCTCTTTCAAGACCTATATAATTATTAGGAGTAAATAATATTACATTTAAACAAGGGGTTGAGAGAATGAGAATTATGGGAAAGTGCCAAGCAATTAAGACTATATAGCACTTGGAAGGAATCGGGATAAGGATTTGGGATAGGACAATGGGAAGGGACAGACCTGCATGAAGCGAGACCGTCACTCTACCATCCACCCCAAGTGGTTGGGTGAACTGTAAGAAAGTCCGAGAAGTGAGGGGGTGATGCAGGGCGGGCAAAGATGTCTAAGCAATACACAAGTATTGCTCATCAATCCAACTTAAGTTATCTTGAGATGATTTCGGGGCTTAGCGTCCCCGCGGCCGGTGCTTGCCCAGGCCTCCTTTTTGTTACACACCCCCTGGAAGCAGTCAGTAGCAGCTTTCTAACTCCCAGGTACCTATTTATTGCTAGGTGAACTGGGGCATGAGAGTGAAAGAAACTCTGCCCATTTATTTCCGCCTTCGCTAGGAATCAAACCCGGAACCTTAAAACTATGAACCCCGAGCGCTGTCCACTCAGTCAGGCCCCTTTAAACTTTGGGTACTTTAAACTTTAAATCTCAAACAAACTTGTATGCTGGGGCCTACTGTATGGTACTTGAGGTTAGAATGATCGTGATTCTGACTACAATATATCTAATTTACCAATATACTTTTTGTTTCATCTGGTAGGTGCTTTTGACTGCTGTAACAAAAAAAAAGACTGCTTTTGAAGAACAATGAATTTCTTAATATACTATATATAAACTAAACTGTTTCTTCAACAAATATTTTACTGTATTTGAATCATTTAATATTATATTAATAATTTGATATTTATTATAAGTACTAGTACTAAGATTCATCTTGGTCATCAGTCATAATTTAGACATTTTAGAATAGGATATATTGAGAACATTCTATAGGCCATCTAGCTTGCAACTGCTCTAGTACTATATACTGAAAAACAAAATGGAGGTTAATAAATGTATTTCTTTGCAGGCTTACAAAGCTGGACTCATTGGTGACAATGCTTGCGGCTCTGGTTATAAATTTGATGTATTCATGCATCGGGGTGCCGGGGCCTACATCTGTGGTGAGGAGACTGCTCTCATTGAATCCCTGGAAGGCAAGCAGGGAAAACCACGACTGAAGCCCCCATTCCCAGCAGATGTGGGTGTGTTTGGGTGTCCAACCACAGTTGCTAACGTTGAGACGGTTGCTGTTGCTCCGGTAAGTTGTTATAGTGTATGGTTAAGTGGTATGGAAAAGCTAATTTTCAAGGTTAACCTGGTTGAAACCTGCTTGATGGGGCTCTGGAAGTTCTTCTACTCCCTAAGCCCGGCCCGAGGCCAGGCTTGACTTGTGAGAGTTTGGTCCACTAGGCTATTGTTTGGAGCGGCCCACAGGCCCACATAGTGCAAAGTTATCTTGATGATTTCGGGGCTTAACGTCCCCGTGGCCCGGTCCTCGACCAGGCCTCCTTGTTGTTACACATCCCCCAGGAAGGAGCTCGTAGCAGCTGTCCCAGGTACAGTGGTACATCGGCTTACGAGCGCCCCTGGTTACGAGTTTTTCGGGTTACGAGCAGGATTTGCTCGGAAATTTTGTATCGGGATACGAGGGTGTTGATACGCGTACGGGCCGACTAGCGTGTGGTGGCATGGTGATCGCTGCTCAGTTTGCAAGGATTTACAGTGTTTTGTTGGATATTTGGCCATTTGAACATAAAACTTGTTATATATCTCACTATGGGTTCCAAGAAAGCCAGTGGTAAGGTTCAACCTAAGAAAATAGTTTTGAGTAGAGGATGTCCCTTCCTCATTAAGAAAAAGTGTGAAGTGTGGGAAGAACTGCAAAGTTTTGTTGAAAAAACTCGCCCAGATAAAGCTGTAGCAGGCCATTGCATTGACCTTTTAAATGTCAATGTGATGTCTTACTACAGACAAGTGTTAAAATGTAGGGAAAAACAAGTGTCTTTAGACAGATTCTTAGTAAGACAAGCAAGCAGTGAGCCACAAGCAGGTCCTAGTGGTATGCAGACAAAACGTGCCAGTGTGTGCACACCAGAGAAGACCTCACTGCCTGATGTTATAATGGAAGGGGACTCCCCTTCCAAACCGTAACACCTCTCCTCCTCCCCCTCCTCACCATCTTCCATATGCCAACAGCAGTCATCAGCAAGGGTAAGTATTAACTTGAACATAGTTTTGTAGTGTAGATTTCGATAAATTAGGTATAAAATTTAGTTTGAAGTGAGGTTTTTAGCCAAAAACCTCACTTCAAACGAAGGAACGGATTAATTCATTTCCCATTATTTCTTATGGGGAAATTAGCTTCGGGTTACGAGCCATCTCCAGGAACGGATTAAACTCGTAAACCTCTGTACCTCTGTACCTGTTTACTGCTAGGTGAACAGGTGCATCAGGGAAAAGAAACTGCCCATTTGTTTCCACCTCCACTGGGGATCGAACCCAGAATCTCATGACTATGAATCCTGAGCGCTGTCCACTCAGCTGCCAGGCCCCCAAGGTATAGTCTTGCATTTCAAACACAAGAGTTTATCTGCGTGTAATATTTTATTCCAGTTAGATTGCTAAATAGATTGTTCATGGGATCTTGTGTTCCCATGAACAGGATTAAGCACAGTCAGGGCAGGCGGACATTCCACACTGGTGCAACAGGGGTCTTCAGAGACCTCCCAGCTGGGCCATGTAGTATTAATGCAAGTGAAGCACTGGAGACACGCCTCAATCTGGTCTGCAATGATCTCTCGAAGGTTTTCATATTAACTTTAACACTAAGCATCTTTAAGTTGGTCTTCTTAATAGGGACAAGCAAGCAGTCAGTTTGTTAGTTGGCTAACACCAGTGAGCAGCACCAACAAGGTAGCAGGGTGCTTTAACTTGGGGCCACCTCACTTTCTAAGTGTCTTGCTCAGAAAGGAGCTATTCAAACACACGCCTATTTTTTTTGTTTGTAGTAAGAATGGTTAGATATTTTATTGATGTTTAGAATGTCTTGTAACAATGCCACATTCCATGTAAATGTTCATAATTGTAACTTTAAAATATTTGTCATGGGAAATTTTTCATTGTTGTGGTGGTGGGCTGTGTGATTACCCCCCCCCCCCCCCTCTCTGGTAATTATTTGAGTCTCTCCCTCCCTCTGGTCATTATTTGTAACCCCAGCATCCTTACCCAATTAAACCCCAGCTTAACACCGCTTGCAAAGCCCACTTTAACCCATAATTTATCTCGCCAGCTCTGTTAAACTGAATTATTTAAAAGGGGAAAATACAACTTATGTCTTAATGTATAATAAAAACCTTGATTAAGCCTCAGCACTGCCACCACCCCCTGTAATCGAACGTGACTGCATTTACTGATGTCCAGTGGGACGGAAAAAGACCAATAAATATTCTTGGAGGACGTAGGAATCTTGGTAATTACTTAAAGGGAATGATTTATAGCACACTTTAATTTACTTAGAATCAAGGGGCAACATTAATTCAGAATGAAAAATGGAGGAGGTAAACACAGGGAAATGTCCAATACAGCATGTAACTAAGAATTTATGACAGAATTAATTTAAAAGGGAAATTAGCTAAACACCAAAATAAATCAACAATGACTTTATTCATTAAATGACAAAAAATATATCCTAACTTCTAATAAATCCTAAACAAAGCAATTGGTGTAAATAACTGAAATACACAATCAAGATAGCACCTTACCTTCACCCTGCAATTACCAACCACAGGTGTTGACAGCCTCCCCAGGTCCCCCTTGACCTGTCCAAGTTCACAACTCGAGTCACACTAACTCAAAATCCTTTGGTCTCCACCAAGGTGGACCCCTGGATCCCACCCACAAGCCCTCTATGGCCTTCTAAGCCACGCCCCTAAGCCCAGGCCTAAACCAGTCATTTCAAACTTTGCCTAAGGTCTGGCACTCTGACCTATAAAGTGCTAGGCACCTTCTCTTTTCTGGAGGTCTACAACCAATCCGTGGCCTCTCCTTATCTCTGCCCAATCATTGTACTGTACCTACAAATCACGTGTTCTTATTGATTTTAGGCTATTTGTCGCCGAGGTGGGAGCTGGTTTGTAGGGTTGGGTCGACCACGTAACAGTGGTACAAAGCTGTTTAATATTTCTGGCCACGTAAACAACCCATGCACAGTAGAAGAAGAAATGTCCATTCCACTGCGAGAGTTGATCGAACGTCATGCAGGGGGTGTAACGGGTGGATGGGAAAATCTTCTTGGTGTGATTCCTGGTGGTTCATCTACACCAGTCATACCCAAGAGGTAGGTACATCTATCAGTGTTTAGAATAATGTATATAATGCTGGTAAAAGGTGGTAATAGTAGGCATTGTGTAGTCTCGGGAGACTCTGGTTGTCGAGGCTGGAGTGTCTCCTCCAGAGCGCAAAGCCTGGGATGAGTCGATATAGCGGAGAAGCTGTTACCCATGCAGCAGGTCCGCACAACAGGTTATAATTGCTATAGTAAATACCTGTTATAAAATTGAGAAAAAGAGTTCAGTGTTGCTAAACTTTTTGTCTTGTTCAGGATGTCCAAAATTTAATTATCCATCTTATCAATCTCATCCTATCCTGGTGGAATGCGTTAAATTCATTCTTTGGCTTGTTCATTGTACTGAACAATAAGTACAATTGTTCATTGTACTGAACATTATTTCCAAGTAAAAACATTGAGGGCAAAGGGGCATTTTTCCTGCAGCCACCTGAACAAAATACTGTATGTGGAGGACATAAGACTTTAGTAGAGATATGGATTGTATAACAGTGATTTGACTTTAGATAGAACATCTGTATTAGTTATTATATTCTTGTGTAGTAATGTTCATTCCATAATTTTTGAATTGCTGCTTATAATTAAACTTTTTCATGCATATTTCTTATCATAAGTTTTGATCTTGTATTGACCTTTTTAAATAAATCGATTAGTCAGTTGATTGCTCTATACTATTAAATGAAAATAAATATCTGTACTCTTTAAATAAGTACTATACAGTAGACCAAACCACACTCTAGAAAGTGAAGGGATGACAACGTTTCGGTCCGACCTGGACCATTCTCGAGTCGACTGTGATGAGGGAATGTTGTTATAGATTCAGCTACTTGGAACAAGTTCCAAGTAGCACGGGTTATGGTGAGCCCGTAACTTACCTGGCACAGGAGCGGGGCAAGTAGCACGGACTATGATGAGCCCATAGTGGACTTACCGGCACAGGAGCAGGGCAAGTATCACGGGCTATGGTGAGCCCGTAGTGGACTTACCTGGCACAGGAGCGGGGCAAGTAGCACGGGCTATGGTGAGCCCGTAGTGGACTTACCTGGCACAGGAGCGCGGCAAGTAGCACGGGTTATGGTGAGCCCATAGAGGACTTACCTGGCACAGGATCGGGGCAAGTAGCACGGTTATGGTTATGGTGAGCCTGTAGTGGACGTACCTGGCACAGGAGCGGGACAAGTAGCACGGGCTATGGTGAGCCCATAGAGGACTTACCTGGCACAGGAGCGGGGCAAGTAGCACGGGCTATGGTGAGCCCATAGTGGACTTACCTGGCACAGGAGCGGGGCAAGTAGCACGGGCTATGGTGAGCCCGAAGTGGAGTTACCTGGCACAGGAGCGGGGCAAGTAGCACGGGCTATGGTGAGCCCATAGTGGACTTACCTGGCACAGGAGCGGGGCAAGTAGCACGGGTTATGGTGAGCCCGTAGTGGACTTACCTGGCACAGGAGCGGGGCAAGTAGCACGGGCTATGGTGAGCCCATAGTGGACTTACCTGGCACAGGAGCGGGGCAAGTAGCACGGGCTATGGTGAGCCCATAGTGGACTTACCTGGCACAGGAGCGGGGCAAGTAGCACGGGCTATGGTGAGCCCGTAGTGGACTTACCTGGCACAGGAGCGGGGCAAGTAGCACGGGCTATGGTGAGCCCGTAGTGGACTTACCTGGCACAGGAGCGGGGCAAGTAGCACGGGCTATGGTGAGCCCATAGTGGACTTACCTGGCACAGGAGCGGGGCAAGTAGCACGGGCTATGGTGAGCCCGTAGTGGAGTTACCTGGCACAGGAGCGGGGCAAGTAGCACGGGCTGTGGTGAGCCCATAGTGGACTTACCTGGCACAGGAGCGGGGCAAGTAGCACGGGTTATGGTGAGCCCGTAGTGGACTTACCTGGCACTGGAGCGGGGCAAGTAGCACGGGCTATGGTGAGCCCATAGTGGACTTACCTGGCACAGGAGCGGGGCAAGTAGCACGGGCTATGGTGAGCCCATAGTGGACTTACCTGGCACAGGAGCGGGGCAAGTAGCACGGGCTATGGTGAGCCCGTAGTGGACTTACCTGGCACAGGAGCGGGGCAAGTAGCACGGGCTATGGTGAGCCCGTAGTGGACTTACCTGGCACAGGAGCGGGGCAAGTAGCACGGGCTATGGTGAGCCCATAGTGGACTTACCTGGCACAGGAGCAGGGCAAGTAGCACGGGCTATGGTGAGCCCGTAGTGGAGTTACCTGGCACAGGAGCGGGGCAAGTAGCACGGGCTATGGTGAGCCCGTAGTGGACTTACCTGGCACAGGAGCGGGGCAAGTAGCACGGGCTATGGTGAGCCCGTAGTGGACTTACCTGGCACAGGAGCGGGGCAAGTAGCACGGGCTATGGTGAGCCCGTAGTGGACTTACCTGGCACAGGAGCGGGGCAAGTAGCACGGGCTATGGTGAGCCCGTAGTGGACTTACCTGGCACAGGAGCGGGGCAAGTAGCACGGGCTATGGTGAGCCCGTAGTGGACTTACCTGGCACAGGAGCGGTGGTCGAGGGAAGGAGTTAAAGGCAATAAATAGGCAAGAGAGAGCTGAAGAGAAGAAAATCTTAGAGGAAGAAGAGCAAGGCAAAAGGTATGAAAAGTAAGGTGAAATAAAGGGTATAGTAATAGGAATAAGAACACAAGAACAAAGGTAACTGCAGAAGGCCTATTGGCCCATACGAGGCAGCTCCTATTTATAAACATCCAATAAGAAGGGGAAGTAACAGGAATAAGAAGGGGATAGTAATAGAAATAAGTAAGGGATTGTAAGAGAAAACAATGGAAAGAAAAGGAAAGAGAAAGAAAGAAAGATAAATGGAAGGGTAAACTTACGCTAGGTCACGTTTGTTTAAAAGTTTGGAGCATTTGAGTATATACTGTGAAAGAATGCTCCAAACTGCTCCAAACTTTCTAACAAATGTGACCTAACATAAGTTTACCCTTCCATTTATCTATCTTTTTCTTTCCTTTTCTTTTCCTTTCCATTGTTTTCTCTTACAATCCCCTTCTTATTCCTATTATTTTCCCCTTCTTATTGGATGTTTATAAATAGGAGCTGCCTCGTATGTGCCAATAGGCCTTCTGCAGTTACCTTTGTTCTTGTGTTCTTATGTTCTTATTCTTATTACTATACCCTTTATTTCACCTTACTTTTCGTACCTTTTGCCTTGCTCCTCTTCCTCTAAGATTTTCTTCTCTTCAGCTCTCTCGCCTATTTATTGCCTTTAACTCCTTCCCTCATCACAATCGACTTGAGAATGGTCCAGGACGGACCGAAACGTCGTTGTCCCTTCACTTTCTAATGTGTGGTTTGGTCAACATATTTCAGCCACGTTATTGTGACTCCTCGTCTGCACTATACAGTATCCACTCGCTTTAAGGACATTCTCTATGGGGGAGCCCCAGAGGCTCCCTGAAGCTATCTTACTGATCAAGTACCATAATATTTAAGTGTCATCAGTTGCAGAGTTCTTTGTAAGCCTACCGGGGACCATGAGTCAAAACCTGGCCCCCCCTCAGAGAGGTGCAGGGAGCAATGACCCATGAACACTTTACATTTAATGTCCAGTATGTCATCTTGCCATCGACCAGGGAAGGCACCCAGAAAGGTAGGCAAATCAAAACAGACTACTGCCTGGTTGAAAAATGTGACCTACATCCTCACAAGCACAATAGAATTTGCAAACAAACAAGCAAAACTTTGTCCAACTAACCCCCTGTTCGTTAGCTCCGGGGGAGGGGGGGAGCCGGCTTGGGTAAGTCAGGCCATCCCCAGTCAGTTCTTTGATTGATGAAAACTGCCGACCTGAAAGAGGGTGTCAGGGAGCCTCAGGATGTTCACCCAGAAACTGGCATTTCATTACATTCAATGCCAGTTTTCTGTGGAGATATCTGTCGGGTCCCTGAAGCTAACTACCCACAGAGAAGGAAAACTGGGAACAACCCAGGAGGCATGAGCCCTGCAAGATGCAACCTGACAAAGAGAGAGCCGGCCACTACAGAATCCCCAAGCTGCAGGGGCCCATGGCGGTCATGAGAGACCATGTGGCCTGGACCATGACCGACCACCAAAACCCCAGAGCCCGAAAACCAGACAAAGACAGCCGAAAAACTGGCAATGCTTCCTAACATCATGGGCATAAGGGTAGACAGCAGGCTGGCTAGACCTAATGACACTGCGAACAACTGGAGACACGAGCTCTGGATCAAAGCCAACAAAAATAAAGCATCCCAGAAGCAGTCACAAATTGAAGGGCCTCCACAAATTAAATTGTAAGAAAGAAAGAAGGGAAAGAACCTAGCCAGAGACCAAGAAGGCTCAGGCGGCGCATGAGCAGGCCAGAGGTGAAAAAATGCGCGAGAAAGCTTGCAGAACGGGACTGGAGGAACAGTCACCACTCCACCGACTCTGAATAATAAAAAGCGACAGTATACGGCATGAGATGCCATTCCAGAAAAGAGAGAGAGAGAGAGAAACAAAACAACCTTGTCCGACACAAATGAAACCCGACAAAGAAAAATAAAATGGTGGAACGCCCGTCAAAAAAACCCGTACTGTCACTGAGAAGAAGACTGCTGGTGGGACACAAACATTAAAGAAGCAACCCAATCACCATTCAAATGGAGATACACACACGTCAGAAAGACTAGATACGTATTTTTGAGAAGGTTGAACCAATGAGAACCTTGCCGGCCCAACCTGCTGAAAAAGGCGGAGCCAGCTGAAAAATGCCCAGGTTCGGACACCGAGCAAGCAGTGCTTGAAACCATGGCTGGGCCAGCCATCAAGGAGCCAGGAGAACTCTCCGCCGATAGGAATCAGCTGGGCCAGAACCCGGAGCAACAGCTGGACCAGGAATAGTGGCACAGGAGCCCCTACCTCTACCAGTTCTGGCAAATAGAGTTCAGTCCTTGCAGTTGGGGAACGGCGCCATGTACACAGGAATACTGTATGCCATGACCACACAGACGCGAAGAGGTCCACCTCAGGGGCGCTCGTACGTCTGGCAAAGCCAAAAGGAAGGAAGCGAGACAGGCTGTCTGCCAGGATGTTGAACATTCCCTGAATTCGAATGGCGTGGAGAACTAAGCCCCGAGAATTCAGCAGAAGAGCTACCTGAAGTGACCAGCCCCAAAGAGCCACAAACCGAAGCAACCCCCACCCCAGTTTAGACAATGGACCATGGGGGAGCAGTCCGAATGGAGCAGGATCACCGAGCCCCAAATTATCTGCAGTCGCAAACACCCACACCATGCTGGGAGCCCAATGCCCCTGGCCGGACTGGGAAGCAATGGATACACAGCCCCAACCGACAGACGAGGCATCCATGAACACGTCAAGCAAAGGAAGGCAAAGATGTCATGGCACTGAACCCTGAAAACCCTGACGAGAGAGCCAGTGATGCAGCAACTGGCACAAGGAAACCGGGGATCGAATCCAGCGATTGGGACAGCGGCGAAAGAGGCTGCCCTCAAGCCAAACCCAACCCAGTGGACAAACCAGAAGAGCCATCCGATTGCGCTGCCACCCACTCTGCTGCCTGCCCACCTGGCACCCATCCAACCCTCCAACCCTGCCACCGTCATCCATCCACCCAGCCCAACCTATTCTCATGAGGTATTCCCTCACATGATTCGAAACAGTGCTGCTCTGTTACTAAAAGATTTTTTCAAATTTCCTTACTTGAATATAAACTTGTCAAATTGTTTGCTAACATCATGTCTGCCCTCACCTGCCCACCTACCTGCAAGCCAAGAATCCATCCCACTCACTTGCCTGCCGGCCATCCAGCCCACCCACCTCCCACTGCCTCCCTGCCTGCTAACGTTAGCCATCCAGCACACCTGCTTGTCCTGCCCACCTTCTAGCCATCCAGCACACCTGCTAGCTCTGCCCACCACCTAGCCATCCAGCACACCTGCTTGCCCAACCCGTTCTCGCAAATTTAATAAGTCAATATTGACTTATTAGTTGCGTGCATAGGTGACATACTAAACATAATAGTTTCCCTTGAAAAGCTTCATAGAAAACACCGACCTTACCTAACCTACTTAGTATGTTAAAATAAGCATCTTATAGCTTCGTAATTACAATTGTTACTTAACCTATTATAGGTATAGGTTAGGTAATAATTGTAATTACGAAGCAATAAGATGCTTATCTTAACATACTAAGTAGGTTAGGTAAGGTCGGTGTTTTCTATGAAGCGTTTCAAGGGAAACTATTATGTTAAGTATGTCACCTATGCACATATTTAATAAGTCAATATTGACTTCTTAAATTTGCGAGAACGGGTTGGCTTGCCCTGCCCACCTTCTAGCCATCCAGGCATCCTGATGTCCTCCCGAATGTGACTGAAAAATTACCGACATCTTTATACGTCCAGATTTAGAAGAGCCGAGGATTTAATGACATGGGTATAGGCCCATATGAGTTGTTAAATTGAGTGGATGCTGTACTGTATGCCTATAATATCAACCTGTCCTCTTAAAAAGAACGTCGCTTTTGGCCGTTTGCCCGTATGGCCGAATTTGGACGTAATTTGAAAATGAAAAAAAAAATGAAAATAAACTTGGGATTTTTTTTTCAACAACAGTAAGTTAAGGGTCCTCTGATAGGTTAGGTGGGCAGGAAATTCTCATAAAGTTTCAAAACGTTATGATAAAAGTTAATTTAAAGTGTCCTTTCATAACCTCTGCGCGTACGCCGGACAACTCAAATAGAAAACGGAACAGAACGTCACTTTTGTGAGTCGATTTCATTTCAAATTACGTCCAAATTTGGCCATAGCGCGCATACGAGCCAAAAGTGACGTTATTTTTAAGAGGACGGGTTGATAATGTACAATTATGAATATTTAACATATTGTCCTAAGATCATTTGTATATTAAAGAATAGCTTGAGAAATTTTGTTTATTAAATTAAAATGTTATAACTTCTTTAAATTTCAGTGTATGTGAAGAAGCTCTTATGGATTTTGATGGCTTGGTAGCCTGTCAAACATCACTCGGAACTGCTGCTCTTATTGTTATGAATCAACAGACGGATATCGTGAAAGCCATTGCCCGGCTTATTGAATTCTACAAACACGAGTCGTGTGGCCAGTGCACACCTTGCCGTGAGGGGGTATCTTGGATGTTCAAGATAATGAGCAGATTTGGTAAGCTGTTTATATTTAAAATATAAGTATGGAATTAACCTGTTAATGACTGACAGTATGGTAAGGTAAATTTACCAGTCTTTGGCCACCTAAGAAAGTTTGGCATGTTCAAATTGAATATCAAAATATAATGGCATGTTAATACTCCTTGGTTGGGATTCCATCTAGGCCAGAACCCATATTTCTTCCAGGAATGCTGTGCATGTAATTACCTAAGTGTAGTTATAGGATGAGAGTTACGCTCGTGGTGTCCCATCTTCCCAGCACTCTGTCGTATAACACTTTGAAACTACTGACGGTCTTGGCCTCCACCACCTTCTCACCTAACTTGTTCCAACCGTCTACCACTCTGTTTGCGAAAGTGAATTTTCTTATATTTTTTCAGCATCTGTGTTTAGTTAGTTTAAATCTATGACCTCTTGTTCTTGAAGTTCCAGGTCTCAGGAAATCTTCCCTATCGATTTTATCAATTCCTGTTACTATTTCGTACGTAGTGATCATATCACCTCTTTTTCTTCTGTCTTCTAGTTTTGGCATATTTAATGCTTCTAACCTCTCCTCGTAGCTCTTGCCCTTCAGTTCTGGGAGCCACTTAGTAGCATGTCTTTGCACCTTTTCCAGTTTGTTGATGTGCTTCTTAAGATATGGGCACCACACAACCGCTGCATATTCTAGCTTTGGCCTAACAAAAGTCGTGAACAATTTCTTTAGCATTTCGCAGGTTGCTTGTATTTATAAACAATTCTGAAATTAGAAAGCGTGGCATAGGCTCCTTGCACAACGTTCTTTTTGTGGTCCTCAGGTGATAGTTTTCTATCTAGAACCACCCCTAGATCTCTTTCTTTATCAGAATTCTTTAAAGATTTCTCACATAATATATAGGTTGTGTGCGGTCTATGTTCTCCTATTCCACATTCCATAACATGGCATTTATTCACATTAAATTCCATTTGCCAAGTGGTGCTGCATATATTTATTTTGTCCAGGGCTTCTTGAAGGGCATGACAATCATCTAAGTTTCTTATCCATCCTATTTTCTTATTGAATTTTCTTACCTAACCTATTGTAGTCATTTAAGTTTAATTGTTGACCAGACCACACACTAGAAATTGAAGGGACGACGACGTTTCGGTCCGTCCTGGACCATTCTCAAGTCGATTGTGATGAGGAGGCAGGGACAGGCAATAAATAGGCAAGAGAGAGCTGAGGAGGAAAGTCAGGTGTAGGGGATAGTAGTAATGGAAACTGCAGCAGGCCTATTGGCCCATACGAGGCAGCTCCTATTATAACCACCGAAGGAGAAGTAATAGGAAAAAGAAGAGGATAGCAAGGGAGCGTAGGAGAAGACAATGAACAGAAAAAGCGAGGAGAGAAAGAAAAGGAAAGAGAAAGAAAGAAATGGAAGGGGGAAAGCTTATGTTAAGTCACGTTTGTTAGAAAGATTAGAGCATTTGAGTATATACTGTGAAAGGGAAGAGTCCACAGCAACAAAGCCAGGACTCAAGTTCATGTTGGGTACATTGTGTATAAGAGCCGATTCTACAAGACGGCGTCTGTGTAGAGTAGAGGCAGGAAAGATTATTTTGGAGGAAGACCAATCAATGGGATGATTAGAATCCCTCACATGGCAGAAGAGAGCATTGTTAGTGTCTGCAGACTTAACACTTCTCTTGTGTTCTTTAAGTCTGTCATTCAGTGTACGGCCAGTTTCGCCAAAGTATTGGAGAGGACAAGATGAACAGGAAATAGAGTAGACACCAGCAGCATTAGAAGCAGGAGGAGCAGTGTGAACTAGATTGCTACGAAGTGTGTTAGTTTGTCGAAAGGCGAGTTTAATGTCAAGAGGACGAAAGGTATTGGTAAAAGTTTTGAGTTCAGATATGAAGGGAAGGCATAGTACAGTGCTACTAGTGTTGGAAGCAGGTTTAGGATGAAAGAAATTTCGTTTAGCTTGAGAGTAGGCACAGTTGATGAAATGCAAAGGATAACCAAGGCGAGAGAATGATTTGTAGATAAAGGCAATTTCAGAATCAAGAAACTGAGGGTCGCTGATGCGTAGAGCGCGGAGGAAGAGAGAGACGAGGACACTTTTCTTAACAGAAGGAGGATGGTAGGAAAAGAAGTGAATGTACATGCCACTATGCATGGGTTTACGGTAGACAGAGAAAGAGAACCCAGACACAGAGCTGTGAACATGAACATCAAGAAAAGGAAGGAGGGAATTAGATTCCCACTCAACTTTGAAATGGATAGAAGGAGCCAGATTGTGAGGCCATAAAGCAAAAATGAATCAATAGAAGGAAGAAGAACAGTTTCGAGAGGAGAGGAAAGGCCAGAAAGAACTAAGGTCATGAGGTCATAAAGCAACTTCCCCTGTCGCTCAACATAGCGAAGCCAGAGACAGGTTTGTCAATTCTAACTCTAGTACTCTTTCGGAAGTCTGCCTTTAGAGGGGAACAGTTCTTGACAGCTTGTTTTCTAAAAAGAACCACCTTTCGTTGCTTCCAGCTTGCCCTTGCCTCCCTGAAATCTAACAACTCTATTCTTATCCTTCCTTCCGACAAAAGCAATTCGGTAATTGTCCTTGACCGTGAGGACTACCTCCGAGAAAGATGTTTGCTCTCTGAACACTTATGCTCCTCTGACTTCTAACCCTTTGGATCGCCTCAAAACTTCCTTTAACCGCAAACTAAGACAGCTCTCTAGTCTTTGCCCTCCTGACTTTGATCTCATTAAACGTTTCCGTGTCATCTGCCCTTCTCTTCCTTATTTCTATGTCTTCCTAAGACTCATAAACCTGGTGTTCCTCTTCGTCCTATCATTTCTTCACGGGGCTCTGTCAGCTATCCTCTTGCCTCCTGGCTCGCTAAAACCCTGACACCTTACCTTGGCACTTTTTCCCCTGCCCACCTTCGTCACTCTCAGGACTTCATAGAAAGACTGCGCCTGCAACCCTCTTGTAAGATGCTTAGTCTTGATGTCGACTCTCTGTTCACTAATGTTCCGCTCGATGACGTTCTCTCTTTCCTCAGACAGAAGGCGTCAGAGGGCCTCCTTCCTCTCCCACTTCCCACTGACGTTTTCCTCGATCTCATTAGACTCTGTGTTGAATCTAACTCTTTCTCTTTCAACGGTAAATATTACACTCAAACTTTCGGTGTCGCTATGGGTTCCCCTCTCTCCCCTGTTCTTGCTAATTTCTACATGGAATACTTCGAAACTGTTCTTCTTCCTTCTATTGATACTCGTCCCTCTCTCTGGCTTCGCTATGTTGATGACATTTTTGCTTTATGGCCTCATGACCTTAATCTTTTCCAGCCTTTCCTCGCCTCTCTTAACAATCTGGCTCCTTCTATCCATTTCAAAGTTGAGTGGGAATCTAATTCCCTCCTTCCTTTTCTTGATGTTCATGTTCACAGCTCTGTGTCTGGGTTCTCTTTCTCTGTCTACCGTAAACCCATGCATAGTGGCATGTACATTCACTTCTTTTCCTACCATCCTCCTTCTGTTAAGAAAAGTGTCCTCGTCTCTCTCTTCCTCCGCGCTCTACGCATCAGCGACCCTCAGTTTCTTGATTCTGAAATTGCCTTTATCTACAAATCATTCTCTCGCCTTGGTTATCCTTTGCATTTCATCAACTGTGCCTACTCTCAAGCTAAACGAAATTTCTTTCATCCTAAACCTGCTTCCAACACTAGTAGCACTGTACTATGCCTTCCCTTCATATCTGAACTCAAAACTTTTACCAATACCTTTCGTCCTCTTGACATTAAACTCGCCTTTCGACAAACTAACACACTTCGTAGCAATCTAGTTCACACTGCTCCTCCTGCTTCTAATGCTGCTGGTGTCTACTCTATTTCCTGTTCATCTTGTCCTCTCCAATACTTTGGCGAAACTGGCCGTACACTGAATGACAGACTTAAAGAACACAAGAGAAGTGTTAAGTCTGCAGACACTAACAATGCTCTCTTCTGCCATGTGAGGGATTCTAATCATCCCATTGATTGGTCTTCCTCCAAAATAATCTTTCCTGCCTCTACTCTACACAGACGCCGTCTTGTAGAATCGGCTCTTATAAACAATGTACCCAACATGAACTTGAGTCCTGGCTTTGTTGCTGTGGACTCTTCCCTTTCACAGTATATACTCAAATGCTCTAATCTTTCTAACAAATGTGACTTAACATAAGCTTTCCCCCCTTCCATTTCTTTCTTTCTCTTTCCTTTTCTTTCTCTCTTCTCCCTTTTTCTGTTCATTGTCTTCTCCTACGCTCCCTTGCTATCCTCTTCTTTTTCCTATTACTTCTCCTTCGGTGGTTATAATAGGAGCTGCCTCGTATGGGCCAATAGGCCTGCTGCAGTTCTCATTACTACTATCCCCTACACCTGACTTTCCTCCTCAGCTCTCTCTTGCCTTTTTATTGCCCGTCCCTACCTCCTCATCACAATCGACTTGAGAATGGTCCAGGACCGACCGAAACGTCGTCGTCCCTTCAATTTCTAGTGTGTGGTCTGGTCAACATACTTCAGCCACGTTATTGTGACTCATCGCCTGCATTTAAGTTTAAATTTGCTTTAACTTCTTCCAAAGCTATTTTTAAGAATTTATTTTCCTTTTCCATGGCTTTGCAATTTGTTTCCAATTGATTCTTGTCCTTGCATAAGTCTTTCACTAAACCCTCAAGACCTAAAATTTTGCTATTCAAATGGTCATTACTTTCTTTCAATTTGCTGATTATTTCTACATGATAGTTCACTATAATATCTAATTTTGCCAATTTGTTGTGTAGACCACTTATTTCAATGCTTTCTTCATTAAAACCCCCAAAATCTAGCTCTGTTTTGTTTTCCTTCTTGCTGGTGTCCATCTTGAATGTTGTTGTCTGCACTGTAAACACTAGGGTCACTTTTTCTCATCCAATTTTTCACTTCACTTTGCACATTCATGTCAGTGGAATACATAGAATTCTTTTAACCACAGGGGGGTTTCTATAGGCCATTGCTCCTAGTGCCTTTCTGAGGGGGGCCCAAGGTCTAATATATTCATATCAGTCCGGATAACTCTGGGGAAGCCTCCAGGTCTCGCCCAGAAAATAGCGCTTCATTACATTCAATGCTGGTTTGTCTCCAGGTGTTCTACCCATTTAGTTTAATTGATTTTTTCAATATTTTGACTATTACACTTGTCAATAATACAGGTCTATAATTGAGGGGATTGCGGGTCTTCCCTTCTTCCACTTTTGTAGATTGGAACTATGTTAGCCTTTTTCCCACACATCAGCTAGGACTCCTGTACACAGGAAAGCCTGAAAAATCAGTTGAAGTGGAATACTTAGCTCTGGTGCACATTCTCTCAGAACCCATGGTGAAGCTCCCTCTGGGCCAACTGCTTTCTTCTTACTTAGTTCCTTGAGCATTCTTTCCACTTTGTCTCTACACCTCTGTGCTCTGTCGTTCTCTGGAATTCTTATCGTGTCTGGTTGTCTAAAGATTTCATTTTTATAAATACACTTTGGAACTGTTAGTTTAATGTTTCACACATTTCCTTTTTATTTTCTGTGAATCTGTTTCCCATTTTCATCCTGTGAATAGTATCCTTTACCTGATGGGAGCCGGTCGGCCGAGCGGACAGCACGCTGGACTTGTGATCCTGTGGTCCCGGGTTTGATCCCGGGCGCCGGCGAGAAACAATGGGCAGAGTTTCTTTCACCCTATGCCCGTGTTACCTAGCAGTAAAATAGGTACCTGGGTGTTAGTCAGCTGTCACGGGCTGCTTCCTGGGGATGGAGGCCTGGTCAAGGACTGGGCCGCGGGGACACTAAAGCCCTGAAATCATCTCAAGATAACCTGCAATTTGTTGTTGATGAATTTATATAATAGGCCTGATTCTGTTTTACATTCTGTCTGCTATATCTCTCTCAAAATTTCTTTCTGCCTCTTTCCTCACTGCCGTGTAGTTGTTTCTTGCTGCTTTATATGTTTGAAGGTTTGGCCTCTTTCTATATTGATTCCATTTTTGTGTCTTTTGGTCTTTGGCCCTTCTCGTAATTTCTCTTGAGCCAGTCCTGTTTCCTAGTTCTACATCTTTTGGTATAAAAAGAAAACTCTTGTGCATTTATCATATATTTCACAATTTGACATGCATCTTATTTACTTCTTTTCCTAACTGCAAGTCTTTTCAGTCAAATTCTTTAAAGAAATTTCTAAGTTTCCCATAATGTCCTCTCCTGAAATCAGATTTTTCACCTGATTCAACTTCCTTATTCTCTTCCAGATTATAAAGCATTGCATACTTTATACTCAAAGGGACATTGTCACTTTTTCCCAAGGGAGGAAGCCCCCAAGCCTGGCCTAAGGCCAGGTGACGAATGGGGCTCGGGTCCAGAAGTCCTCTGTTCTAGTTTCATATGCTTCCCAGTCAATGGATTTCAAGTTTAAGTCGCCAACTACCAACATTTATCCACTCTTGCTTTAATCTCTTATTATTGTTATGAGGTCCTTTAGTTTATTATCCAGCTCCTCCTTTGTCTATGTGTTTCATGGTGTGGGTGATTGTAATGTTACCCAGCTCTGTCTCTCTATGAAGGGACCAGGTTCTTTCTTTTGTCTCCAGGTGACCAACAGGACCCCTGACTGATGTGACTCACAAATGTGAAGCTATTTCAACAATATAGCTTCAGGGAGCCACTTGGATTCTACCAGAAATTTTTATTACCAGACATTTTATTACAATTTTTTTGCCTCGTATTTGCCAGACGAGGGGTAAACAAAAGCATGTCACTGATTATAATACATGTTGTGTAACTGTACAAACCTAAGGAAGGAACGGGTGTGTGCCACCTCTTCTATTGAGCTGCTTGTAGGGTCTGGGTTGGTTGGTTGTCTCCTGCCAGCTCCTTGATCCCCACTATGTTGTCGGGGGTACTGAAGTCACTACAGTATATTGGCAGACTTGTTTACTGTTTAAATTCTTGTGCATAGCTCATTATTTTAATAGTTCAGACTTTACCACAAATTAACATTTTGACTGAAAAAAATCCCAAGTATTTGACTACAGTAATTACTAAGACTATTTTTAACCAACAGTGAAAGGTGATGCTCGTCCAGAAGAAATTGATGCACTCTGGGAGGTTTCCAAGCAGATAGAAGGTCATACAATCTGTGCCTTGGGTGATGGGGCTGCTTGGCCTGTTCAGGGACTAATTCGCCACTTCCGACCTGTTCTTGAAGAGAGGATGGCTAATTTCACTGCCTCCAAGGAGGCAGTGAAAAATTAATGTCTGGAATTTGTGTGTGTACACAGATCATCATACATAGGAAAAATGCCCTGTGAAAAATGTGTAATATTTAAGCAGATTATTAAAATTTGTAAATACTTTAAATATATATAGTACAGTATTAGTGTGTTTATTTACATCGGGATAAGCTGGGAAAGAAAAGCTGTGGGAAAATAATAATCGTCCTAATTCAAATAATTCTCGAGTGGAGTTCACAGAGTGGACCCCACCAACACGGGCGGCTCAGGATGCCTCCTTGATGAGTCTCAACTAGCAGTGCCATAAATCTGGGACTCGTATCTTATAACCACCTTAGTTATGAAGCATTATCATTATTTTAGTTAATGCTATAGCATTTATTAATATTACAAAATATTAGTGAATAACCACTAATTAAAATTAAGTGAACAATATATCCCGCTCACAAGGGAGGCGGGAGATGCCATACTAACTAAGATCCTCAACAGAACGCGCCACACAAAAGTACAGCTCTTATTAATTTTATATTAGTGTGTCTTTAATTCTAGGTATTATCAGCCCAATTCTTTAGTGTTATCACTAAGTTCCAGAGATGAGACTGAATAATAAGTGCTAGAATGCAGTGTACATATTAACAGTACTGAAAATTGTGCTAGTTGAGTTGGTTCCACATGTACCAGCCCAGCCAACACACAATTGGCTAATTTATTGTGCTAATTTATGCACAAGAGGACATAGGGACGGCTAAAGACGTTGACCTGAGTACCCAGGCACCCGCACAAAGTATGATTGTGACTTGGTATTGTTTAATTGACGACAATTTATGTACGTATGTCATTTATCTGTGCCTTCTAGGTCCTGGTTAAACTGTGTGGTTTTTAGCCCCCAAAAATGTAAGTAAACAAATCTCTAATAGTGATTTTTTGCTGCTATATATAACTGGTACTATATCTGTATCGAAACAATTTCTGGAAACGACATTCGGTGACTTGATCATTGTGATAGGCTACTTTAATCGATTGTAGGATTGAAGGCATGTACCGACGTACCAGCGTTATCTCTCTAAAAGTAATTGAAACTATTAATTTACTTTATAACTAAATGTGAGATTCTTGGCAGATCAAGAGAACAGCAACTTGGCTCTGCAAGTAACTTCTTCCCAGCATGAAATTACCTGAGGGAGTCTACACTAAGCAGCTATGTTTCTTGTAATTGTAGATGTCTTAAGTAATTCATTTAATTTGTTGCTTTGATAAATTGAGTAATTAGCAGTAATTTAAATTGGTATAGTTATATATAATTTTTAGCACATACCTGTACAGTATAATTTATATGCTGCGTAAATTTAACTATGGGATTAAGTCGAAGAATAAATCCCACAAAAGCAATGAGCTGCCCTAGGACATAAGGAAGGGCTTATGTCCCTATATTAGCACCGTTCCTTTTGAATATCCAAAGACAGTGGTGTGTTCTCTTCCTGGCTTCGTGCCTTTGATAATTACTTGCCCCTTCTGGTGGATGGATTAGTGCTGGTAAATTCATGTATGCAAATCAGGATTACCTAGCGGGCCACCTTCTCGCTGCTGGTTTCCTGTCCCTGTCGAGTCAACTTACAGTTCCTCTGTTTCCGATTATTTGTGTAATAAACAGTATAAATTCTGCAGACAACTTTAGTGGGTAGGCAGTTCCATACATTTAAACTCTATGGAGTAAAGTCATGCTTCAAGCAGTTGCCCCCTTTTATGCATTACATTAGACCTTTAACCCTTACACTGCTACAGTCTAGGATGTAAATGGGGGATAATCTTGGGCTGGGTGAAAATATATTTGAATTATGTGAAAATTAATATTAAATGTTAAACAAATCTCCAACTTATTGGCTTCAGCGTCGTGAAAGTTTCATCCCAATGTTTTCAGAAATAGGTTTTAGACAATTTTTTTTAAAAAAGAAGAATGTATGGTTGATAAGGAGAACAGCTTCTATTAACTGGAACTGAGGGATAATGCAGTAATAAGGAGATGTAAGCACCTGTCCGATGCACAAAGAAGAATAGTTAAAAGTGCCCAGAAAGGGGATATGCAGCTGGTGCTTTTATAGCATAAAATTTGCAGTTGGTGCTTTTTATATAGAGTAGGTTATCTTGAGATGATTTTGGGGCTTTTTAGTGTCCCCGCGGCCCGGTCCTCGATCAGGCCTCCACCCCCAGGAAGCAGCCCGTGACAGCTGACTAACACCCAGGTACCTATTTTACTGCTAGGTAACAGGGGCATAGGGTGAAAGAAACTCTGCTCATTGTTTCTCGCCAGCGCCCAGGATCGAACCCGGGACCACAGGATCATAAGTCCAGTGTGCTGTCCGCTCGGCCAACCGGCTCCCTTCCATACAGGGAAATAACACATAATACATAATAAGTAAGTAATAAGTGAGTAACACATAATAACACAAATAATAACGAGTAAGTATGTTGTTATGCTCTATTTTGCTCTACATACAAATACATTGTTCAGTAGTAATACCTGTTACTTTCACCAATGTCCACAAATTTATTTCTTTATTTTTTTTCTTTTGTCTATTATTTGATTTTGTTGTAATCTCTACAACCGGGAGAATGCATACTTTTCCATAACTGTGAAGAAGGAATTAAATTGGTCAATAAATAAATCAGTCATAACTGGTAGAACATGGGACTTTGAATTTTTTGGGGCAGATTTTTTCACAGATTTCAAACTCAATTTTTCTTATTTCTTTAGATTGTTTTGATGATTAGGGACCCAATTAGGGCTTTTTGACTTATATAAAGTATACCCCAAATCATTATAATTATCCAAATATTTTTTTTTGGGGGGGGGGGGTATTTTTTTCTTGACTTCATTTCAACACATTGACCGACAACTCTCACATATTCGAGTACGAATGCCAAACAATGTTTATTAAAACATACAACTAAATTAATAAATTAGAACTACCTTATACATTGTCGATAACTTCAACTTCAATTATCTCTAAAACTAGAGTTTCAACATTGAGTCAACTTCAAAAAATTCAGTTTCTGATCGATTCTCACCATTTTTACATATAGTGTGCGCTGCTGTCTCTTCTACAATCCTATTAGGATGGATTTTTTCATAAACACAATAAATGTTTTGAGTTATAAATTTTGTTGTCTGAATTTGGTGCATATTTCAAATGCCATCCTGACGATTTTTTTTACAGTAAACTAAACTGAAAATCAGTTATTTACATCCACAGAGATTCTATTTCTAAATCTATTAAAATGAGGATCATATACTATTCTGAGAGCATAATAACATTTAATGAACAATTGGTGATATTAAATAATTTTGCAGCTGATCCGGAAATCTGAAATTTTCAATATTAAATTTTATAATTATTTTTAATTTTCTTGTTTTTCAAGTTATGTTGATGATCATTAAGACAAAGTTGGAGTGTTTGCCTAGTAGATTATGCACAACAAATTTGAAAGCAATGTGTCGTTGCTGCTGCTCCGCAGGATGCAGCTACCCGCTTCACCCTTCCCTCCTCTCCCAGTCTCTCAACTATTTCGAGGCCTTGTACCAAGACTCGCCCACCGACTCCTCCAATGCTCCTTTACGTTATGAGGCAAGGGATCCCTCTCCTGGTTCTCCATCTGGTGTTTTCCCTCCTTCCTTCCCAGTCTGCCGTGTCTTTCATGTCTTCTTTACCGTCTCCTCCCGATCCTTCTTCCCACCTTCCCCGTCTCTTGGCCCTCCACACCACCTGTCTGTCCAGGCTGTTGTTCATCATCCTCCCAGCAATCGTCATGCTGATCGTTCCCGTTTTTCTTATGTTGAAACTTTGGAGACTGTTGCCCAGTACATTGTTGCTGGCACACCTGTCTCCAAGTCAGAAAAGTAAGCCTGGCTTCTCTCCTCCTTCCTCCCCGGCTGGTAAAAAGGCATCCGCTTTCTTCCCCACCCCTCTGACTCCGTCCCTGCGTCTTTTTCAGTGGTCGAGAACCCTGACCAAGCTTTAGAAGCCCTCAATTCTCTCTTGGTTGCTGCCCTTGCTGAGGTGCACTTCCCTGTTTTTGCTCCCCTTCCTCTGCTTCCCTTGACTGCCCCTCTGCATTGTCTAACCCCCACTCCGAACCCTGTCTGCCCGCCTCTGGTCAGTCATCCCGCTCCCTTAACTCATACGTTCTTGCTTGATTTACCCATGCCCCTTAACCCTGATTTTACCAGTCCTGATCCTGATCCTCTTTAGAATGCAGTGTTCTATGTTGCCTTTGTTTCTTCGTTGTTCTCTGTTGCTCTTCTTTCTCCTTTTGATAATTACAGTGGTACCTCGCATAACGAATTTAATCCGTTCCATGTTCGTCATGTGAAACGGACGTCATACAAAACGAGTGTCCCCCCATGTAACCAGTGTGATGCACTTTATTTATTTATTTATGCATATACAAGAATGTACATAAGGAATGTGAGGATACAAATATGGTAATTACAGTCTTGTAAAGCCACTAGCACGCGCAGCGTTTCGGGCAGGTCCTTAATCTAAGAAAATTTTAAGGAGGTAAATACTTGCAAAATTTATAGACAAAAAAATGATAACAGTTACATGAAATGAAAAAAAGATGAGAGAAAATTGTAGGTACAGTATATTAAAGCACATAGGTAGCTAAGATTGATTGCAATGACAGCTTGAATGGTAGTTGACAAAAATTGGTAGGCACAATACAGCAGAAACAATATAAGATTGATTGCAATGACAGCTTGAATGGTAGTTGACAAAAATTGGTAGTCACAATACAGCATATGGCTAGCACATAAAAGAAGACAGCAATGAACACAATGATAAGGTTGTTTGATATTACATAAAAATTAGGAGATTGGGTAACACTAGGTACAGAGCAAATTTAAAGCTCAGTGTAGGAAACTAAGAAGATGAAGTTAGGTACTTTTTGGTTTTGCTTTTAAATAAGGCAAAAGTTTTACAGTTTTTCAATTCACTAGGGAGTGAGTTCCATAGACTAGGTCCCTTAATTTGCATAGAGTGTTTACACAGATTAAGTTTGACCCTGGGGATATCAAAGAGATATTTATTTCTGGTGTGGTGATGTTCCGAACCTTAATGGAATCTGACCCATATATCAATCAGGT